TAATGCATATAGCAGACCTTGGATTTAGGAACAGTTACACAGGTCAAGCCCACCCAGAACTCGCCTGGCTGAGGAGAGGGCGGAATCTAGCATGATTGTTAGGTCTGGGTCTGGTTGACTGGTAGATAATGAAAAGCACTTTAAGGAGGTGACAATCTGGGATAAACGTAGGCAGAAGGTAGATTTTTGTTCATGTTGATTCTCAAGTAGCTGTAGTACATCCAAGGGGAAACGCATAGCACGTCGTTGGCTTCCCAAGCTCTGCAGCTAAGGAGAAAGGTGGAACCTAGTTAAATAAGATGTGTGGGCAGTTAATACCTGCGGTAAGGGAGAATACTGGAGTGGGGAGGGGTGAGGGTCAGGGTAGGAAGTCCTTAGCAACCTAATGTGTATTTCGAGTCAAGGAATAGGTTTCAGTACAGCAAGCAAGCTGCGATGAGTTGGAGAAAGCACTAGGAGGAAATTCAGAGATACAGGAGCCAGGAGACAAGAAAAGAGCCCCCCACAGGCTCAAGAACTGTAGAGAAGTCAAGATGGAGAGTGAGCCCCATGCATTCCGTGCTCGCGGGATGCTTGGCGACTTTGGCAAGAGCCGTTGCAGTGAAGAGGGCAAGGTAGAGGCCAGGTAGCAGGGATGTAGGAGGTAAGAGGTGAAGAAACGCATTCAGATTATCTTTCTAGATGCTAGGAAAGAGAGAGACAAGTACAAGGGATTTTTTTCCCCCCAATTGGCTAATATTCAAATATTAAAAAAAATATTTTTAAACCTATTGTAAATGAACTTGGGGGATGTCAGAGAATGGCAAGCAACTAGGGGAAGCCCTTGATATTGATGAGTGTGGAGATGGAAACAGAAACTAGCTCAGGAGTTCGTTTCTGAAGAGGAAGCAGTGAGGGGAAGAGAGGTGAGGATGGGTGGGGCAGCAGGAGAATGTCTAGGGGGAAGTGTTGGAAGCTTCTGGTTTCTTATCTGGAGGACCCAGTTTGAAGTAATAGGAAGGGAGGGCTCCTTTGGAGAGTATTGGGTAAGCTCTTACAAAAGGAGAGTATTTTCAGAGCTGTTCTAAAGGAGAGAAATTTTCCATGGAACATGTGAAAAGGTGAAAGAGTGAAGGCCTAAATCAATGGGCAGAGTCTGTGATAGTCTTCTGTTTTTCCTGTAGTGGCAACAAACATTTTCCTAGATGTCTAAAGACTGATCACTGTCTTGCCCATCCACAGCACGTTGTTCATGTAGGAAAGAAAGCACTTGCGACCTTGGGTTATAAAAGCGTGTATCAGTCTCCCAGGGCTTCCCTGCTGGCTCAGCTGATAAAGAATCCTCCTGCAATGCAGGAGACCTGGGTTTGATCCCTGGGTTGGGAAGATCCACTGGAAAAGGGAGCGGCTACCCACTCCAGTATTCTGGCCTGGAGAATTCCATGGTCTGTATAGTCCATGGGGTCACAAAGAGTCGGACACGACTGAGCGACTTTCACTTTCACTTTCATCAGTCCCCCAGGTGAGAATTTTTAAGATTTTTAAAGAGGATTCCTACATTTTTTTCATTATTGTATCCACACCTCCTGTTAAGTGTTTCAGATCAGGTGAGACGGTTTGAGCTGGTAGTCTGTATTCACAAAAGTTGTAAGTTCCAATATTTTTGGCATTTGATATAAGTTAATTTTTCCATTTCATTTGTTAATTTATCTGTGACTCTGGCATCATGGATGGTTATACTTATCAATTCCTATCTGATTAAACTGCTGTAGGCATTTCTTGATTATTCAGAATTTACTTATTCATGATAATTATCTATGTGATCCTTTATTTGCTCTGTGTATTTTAGATCCTTTCTTCACTTTGCTGTTTCATCAGAAGGCAGTAGGCAAAATAGAGAAAAACAAAATCAAATAATTTTACTGCTTAATAGCTGTTTAACAAATGTTTATAGAGGGTGAAGTTGTAGTTAACAGCTGATGAAACAACATTTTTGGACTGTATTTACTAATTGTTAGTGCAAGGGTTATTCAAGTTACAGTTGATCCAGGTCAATTTCACTTTGAATTTTATTGACAGCATTTATTCAACTTAAATTGCTTCAGCTATAAAAATGGCTGTATTAATATTAAAACAAATACTGCAGTGGAATCAGTGCTTTCTGTATTCTTTAGAAAATTCATTTTCCAAACACAAGTTATAAAGTCACTGAGTGCTTGCTGACCACTTTGTACTCACTTGGAGGCTTCTAAAAAAGTCTGCTGAGGTAACTTAGCTCTTCACTTGTATCTCTTTAATTAAAGGATAATTTTTAGGAGGTATAGTTTGACTCGAACAAATACGAAATGCTCACGTGTCAAAGTTTTTACTTCACACGTTAATTAACAAGCAAACCAACAAGATGGTACAGCCATCTTGGTTTTAGAAGAGAACTGGAAGGGACTCCCCTGGCGGTCCAGTGGCTAAGACTCTGCACTCCCACTGCAGGGGGCCCAGGTTTGATCTCTGGTCTGGGAACTAGATCCCATATGTCACAACTGGGAATTTGCATGCCACAATTAAAGATCCTGCATGCTGTGGCTAAGGACCCAATGCAGCCAAATAAATGTTAATTTTAAAAAAGAGAGAATTGGAAGAATAGACACATGTACATATAGGCAGTCAGGAATGGTGAAATGAATCTGTGGATAGATGCAAAGTTGGTCAGTGTCCTCAGGGCAATAAAATCTTGTTCTGTTTTTTGGCCATGCTGTGTGGCATGTAGGATCTTAGTTCTCCAACCAGCGATCAAACCCATACCGCCTGCAGTGGAAGCACTGTCTTAACCACTGGACTGCCAGGGAAGTCCCTAAAATGTAATTTTTTTAAAAAAATTCCTCTTTTCCAACAGGTCCAAATCAACTGCAGAACAAAGTTGGTTTGTCTCTCTATGGCTATGAATGTTTGCATTACCATCAGTTTTCTACCTCTCGCAAAGCTGTAAAAACAGCCTAGTCTTGGCAAGGGGCCCAGGCTGCTATAGAGTTATTCCAAACGGATCTGTCCGATAAGGCCCAGCACCCCATTGAAAGGACTCCCGGTAATCTTTTAGTCCATTTCAAAATTGTTGACCATAGTTTCTGACATTTTCCTTCCTTTCCAACTCCAGCATCATAACCACCACCCAGTGGAGACTATATTTCTCAGGGGAAGTAATTCATAACTCCAGCGTTTTGAAGAATGCAGTTGGAAGTCCAGGTTTTGCCTGGAGCTTCCTGATATTTAGGTGGCTAGAAATGGAGAGAACTGGGGGAAGGTGAGCTGTGGATGACCACAGGGTTGATTTAGACTGCAGCTCCCAGAAATGTAACAATTTAGACCTGCCAGTCAGAGAAGGTCCAGAGCATTACATTAAGATGCTGGAGTGCCTAGTTTTTATAGTATGACCTTACATATTTATAGCACAGTATAGAGCATTTCTCCATTGATGCCAACCACAATTCTGCGAGGGGCTTCCCAGGTGGCTCTAGTAGTAAAGAACCTGCATGGCATTGCAGGAGACGCAAGGGATGCAGGTTCAGTCCCTGAGTCAGGAAGATCCCCTGGAGAAGGGCGTGGCAACCCACTCCAGGATTCTGGCCTGGAGAATCCCATGGACATAGGAGCCTTGGCAAGCTACAGTCCATAGGGTCACAGAGAGTCGGACATGACTGAAGCGACTCAGCATGCACAATTCTGTTCATTTTTTGATCCTCTTACTTACAGAGAGTAAACCAAGGCGTAGAAAGTTAAGCGAATTGCTTAAGCTTGTACCCTGGAAAGTGACAGACAGAGACAAGATTTGTTCTCAGGCTTCTGAACATTGTTCAGTTCATATTCCATGCTGCAGCCTAGCATTCAATTCAGTGGGCATTTATTGAAGAGTAATTATGTCCCTAGAGTAATAACATCCTGTGCCCCTGATAGAGGAAAAATCTTAAAGATGAACGATTAAACCTAAGGTTTTATTTATATCTGTCAATCCTTTTTTTAAAGGAAACACCAGCTCACTGCTTACATGAAAGAAGTGATAAATGGCTGAAGAATATGGAGGACAAGTACAGTTTGTCCACACTTTTGCACATTCCACATGAAAGAGGACCCGTTTCTCAACCTCTTTTATAAGGCAACAACCAGTAGTTTATACTATTGAAAAGAGTAGATTGGATACATGCAACTTAGTAGTAGTATCTGCTCTTGGTTTCAGCTTGCACCTTAGCATTGTTTTGGGTGGTTTATGGTTTCTAGAAGGAAGGGATGCCTGTAATATATATTTGGAAGTTGTTCTTTAGTTTCAGTGAAATGTGGGAGTGAGAAAATGCCATTCAATTGTGTATAATCCTTTTATGATGCTTGCGTACCGAATGTCTGTTGCTGTCTGTATTTTGCAATGGGAAAATAGCTGTAGAGAACTTTTTTTTTTTTTTATCCTTAGCATTCTAAGGCTTACCATCCTAGTGGAAAGATGTGATGTGATTCATGTGATTTATTTTTTATATTTAAGTACAATAGAGCCTGCTACCTTTTTTGGAAATGCAACCTAGGGATAGAAATAAACTTCCTATCAGTTTAGCAGGTTCTATTTGGAGAAAGTGTATAGAAGTTGAGACTGAATACATTATTTGGTTTTACTTTCAATTTAAAAATTTTCTCATAGTAAAGACAGTATTTTTCTTTAAATATCAGAAGACACAAGCTTCAGAGTTTCCAAAGCCAGATACTACATCTGCATGTTCTAACTCAGTTGCTGAGTTTATTCCCGGGATGCATGAGAATGTATATTTTGTGTTAGTGGGAATGAATAAAGAAGAGGTACAGTGTTGTCTATCAGCTGTGCACATTAATATTAAAATAATTTGTTCTCTTCACCCATTTTCTCTATAGTTGCTTGCTTGCTTAAGTGAACAATAGAAGCAGTTCTCTTTATCTTAAGAATTTGTAACATACCTAAGATCTTGTAGTATTCTGTAATGAAATGTAACAATTTTATTTCTCTTTTCCAGGTTCAGCTCAACTAATATTTAATGTAATCAAATCTGTAGAATATACTGTTTGCAATCAAACCGTTGTCATCCCATGTTTTGTTAATAATGTGGAGACGAAGAACATTACTGAATTGTATGTCAGATGGAAATTTAAAGGAGAAAACATTTTCATCTTTGATGGAAGTCAGCGGATGTCCAAGTCCAGCAGTTACTTTCCTAGTGCAAAAATCACACCATCAGAATTACTGCGTGGCATTGCCTCTTTGAAGATGGATAAGAGTGATGCCGTCTCAGGAAACTACACTTGCGAAGTAACGGAGTTGAGCAGAGAAGGGGAAACCATCATAGAACTAAAATACCGTGTTGGTAAGTCTTTTGTAAATTTTCCCTGTTATTTCTTCTGCAGCAACATGATCCTGTTAAAGGGGGGCTAAAATGGGGCTAGGAACTTCTTCTTCTTACTATTAATACTAAATGTTGGAGTGTTTAGCAGCATTAAGATCATGAGTTTTATATTATTTGCTCTTCTGCTTTTCTCAATAAATCTTCTCTAGTGGTTGATAATCTGTGCATTGTGTGGTCCTCAAACTTTAGGTCTGAGGACTGTTAGCGTTTGCAGGGAGCGGTCCAGGGCTCATCCCCTCTGCATTTCTGTTTGCTGCCATCAGAAGTACTTTCTTTCACGTGATTGAGTTTCGAGCCTTTTCCCCAATTATTTCACCTTTTTTTTTAACCTTACACTTTGATCAAGGGTTGCCGAATCCCAAACATGCTTCCTCTGGAAAGAACAGATTAGGAGGAGAATAAGAATGTTAAAAATCATGTTATCATAGCTGATTCCTTGAGATTTCCTGGGTTTAACCTTGTTTTGGTGTTGTCCACCCCCCACCCCCAACCTTGGCCAAGATGTGGGAGAGCTAGGGATTCAATTTGATATATTTAAATTCAGCTTTGATTATAGTTGAATGATCCTGCCCTTTCTGAGTTGCTGAGTTGCATAAAGCAGTAAAGTTAGCTGAGTAAAAAGTTTTCATTCATTTCCTATTCCTTGCAGTGCCAGCTAAGTTCTTCAGCCACACAGAGGTACATTTCAGCTTACTGTTTTGAAATCTCTATTTAGAATTGCTAGCTATATTACTGATCTCAGGATTAGACCATACTTTGAGAACCTGCTCTTTTCATGGACTCAGATCGGTTCCATTGGATCCACTATTTGCCTCTGTTCTTCTTGCATTTACCATGAATAAATGTCTGTTACCACACTGGGAATGAGGTGCTTGGGTGATAGAATACTTTGACATTGCTTTGTATTAGGAAATCAGCAGATCTGGGTTATATCCCCTGGGATGAAGATAGATTCCTGCCTTTATGTCTTATCCGAACAGTCTGAGGAGCACCAAATGGGGTCCCTGTGTACAAGCACTGTGTGAACTGAACTGCTTTACAGGTGTGAATCGTCTTCTTGGGATGTTCGTTTTATGAGGGATGGTGTCAAGTCATGAAGCTGGCCTGCGGTTGTGAGAGGGATTCTTGCGCCACGAGGAGAGGCTGAGAGGTGGCTTAGAGTAGGCTAGCAGAATCTGGAAGGCTTTTCTGCTCAGAAATATCGCGTACATTGTAACTTGTATTAATTTGTACTAATTTAGGCTGAAGAGCTTTTTTTTTTAATAGTTTTGTTTATTTTAAAGCATACCTTTCAACAGGGGGTCGAATCTGGAATTGCATAATCTAATATCTAGTTGAAGTTTTTTCTGAAGAAATGTGCAGTTTCATTGGAATGAAAAGACAAGACATAGGATCAATCGTCTGGTAGGTGTCTAGACCACTGAGAGGTAATCTCAAGATATGAGACCTGAAAGGCCAGAAGGTGGAATGAAGATGAGTGGGAAAGGAATACCAGCATCTGGAGATGAAGAGAAAGTTTATAATTTTGTGTGTCTGTGATTGTTTTATTTTTCTTTATTTTCAAAGTACCCTATAAAAATATGAACTATGTTTACTTTGGGACCATTCAAATGAGGAAGTATTGTTTCATTGTAGAGAATGTAGAAAATTCTACCAGAGGTCTCAGACATTTGGCTTTGCACTAATTTTTTATTTTTTTGGAATAACTATAGATTCACAGGAAGTTCACAGAAATAAAAGATTCACAAAAATAAAACCGAATAGTGCTGGGTGCTGTGTACTCTTTGCTCAGTTACTCCTAATGCTTACATCTTGTGTAACTATAAAAAAAAAAGAAAACAAAACTGGGAAGTTGACAGTGGTACAATGTATGTATACTTCTTTTTCATTTTGTGATATGTGTATTTGGGTAACTGCCACTGCAGTCAGGACGTAGAACTATTTCATTAGCACAAAGCTCTCCCTCACGCTAACCTGGCAAATACTAACTTGTTCCCCTTGTCTGTAGTTTTGTCATTTTAGCACGGTTATGTAAATGGAATCATACAGTATGTGATCTTTTGAGACTGGCTCTTTTTCAGTCAGCACAGTACCCTTGGGATCTAACCAAGTTGTTGCCTGTATCAGTAGTTTGTTCTCTTTCTCTGTTTTTTCTTGGCTGAGTAATATTCCATGGTATGGGTATATCACAGCTTGTTTAACGGTGCACCTGTTTTAGGATGTCTTGAGTGTTTCCAGTTTTTGGCTATTACAACTGGAGTTGCAGTCAATTAATCATGTGGAGGTTTCGTAGGTGGATATAGTGTTCATCTCTCTGAATAAGTACAGATTATTTGGTTGTTTGCATGTGTACACTTAGTTTTTAAGGGAACGGTCGAACTGTTTTCCAGAGTGGTTGGTCCATTTGACGTTCCCATCAGCAGCATATGAGTGATCTCATCTCTTCATATCCTTGCTGGAACCTGCTGTTGTCATATCATTGTTTTGCATCCATTTTTTACTGGGGGGAAAAAAAAGAACCCTTCTTCCAACAAAAAGTTAGTTGGAGCAGGACTGTTACAGTGGAATACAAATGTATTGTGATCATGGAGCTTGCCCATCATATGGACATTGGGGATTTAGGCAATAGAAACCAATTTTTCAGACATAGATGAGGAACTGAAATTGTGTCATAGAGAATTCTACTTAGTAGAATGTGAATTACAGGTGGCCATTCTTTGTGCCATTCTTTTAAGTATAGTATTTTAGAAATACTATCTGTCATATATATATAAAATCTTTTATATATGTGTGTGTGTGTATATTATATACCTCTGGTGCCTATGTATAGTATGGTACCATGGACAGAGCACAGGACTTGAATTTAGAAAGCTCTTTAAATACATTTTTATTTTCTAGTTTAAGAAAATTTGGATAAGAAAGTCAACCTGTCAAGCCCTCTGTTTTTACCTGCTAAGTGGGGACCATTTCATCAAAGTCTTGCTCACTTAACCAGAGATTTATTGAGCACCTACTATGTGCTGGGCAGTGTGCTGGGAACAGTGCATTCAGTGATGACTAAGGCGTAATCCCCGATTTCAGGGAAGTGATAGTACAGTGCCACAGGAAAATAATCTGACATTTATAAGGGCACATACCAAGTAGTTTATGTTTATTGTGTCTTGAATTTGAGAACTCTGGGTGTTAGTTATCAGTCTTACCATTTAACACATGAAGTAAGGGAGATTTAGAGTACTGTTCAAATTCAGTGTCACAGCCAGGGTTTTAACCTAGTTTTGTCTTTCATTAAAACCAGTGTGTTTACTACCACTGTATTTGGTCGCTATGAACACATCTTGTAAACAACCAAATTACTAAATGTACATAATAATGGTTGTGCAATGTGTTACTCGTATTTGTATTTATAGTATAGTGATACAAAAACTTAGAAGCTTAACTTTTTACTTTTTTCTGAGTACGTTCTTAGGGTTTTGTTTTAAAAGGTCTCTTCAAGTTTAGAAAAGTTGCCATTTCCGTTATAATCAACATGAAATATGTTATGTTCCTAACGTTGACGTGAAGGCATTTTGAGATCCTTGTGTTGGTTTTCTAGTGCATGTGCAAACAACCACAAATGCAGCAGCTTTAAACTGCACCCATTTACTAGCTCACCACTTTGTAGATCACAGCTGTGGTCATGGTATAACTAGATTCTCCATTCGGTCTTATGAGGCTAAAATCAAGATGTTTGCAGGCTGTGTTCTCATCAGAAGGTCAGGGTCTTGCTCCAAGCACACATGGTTGTAGCAAAATTAATTTCCTTAGAACCGAGGTCCCTGTTTCTTTGCTGGACGTCTGATGAGGGCTTCTCTTAGTTCCTAGAGGTTGCTTTATGCTTGCTCCAGGAGCTCTTCCACATTTAAAGTCAGCTAAGATTAATCTTCTTCTTGTTGATTCCTTTGCACATGTTGATTTTTTTTTTTGGGGGGGGGAGGCTAGAACAACCCCAGATCCTTTTTAGGTCTTATTAGGTCTGCCTTCTCTCCCTCAAGACTAATCACTCTTTTTCAAAGTTAGCTGACTGAGGACCTTAATTTATAGTCAGCAAAATCACTTTTGCCATATGACACAACATAATCATGGGAATGAAATCCATCATGTTCACAGGCCCATTCTTCCCTTAAGGGGAAGGAGTTTTAAAAAAAGGCTTGCAGGGGTCAGGTTTTGGGAACCACCTTAGAATTCTGGCTTTGATTAAATAACTAGGGAGTATATCTTAGCCAAGTAAATACATCAAAAACAAAACAAAACAAAAAAAACCCTTCACAATCCTAAAGCATCAGTAAAAATGTGGCTTGAATTTTGTTAGAAATTTTATTGTGTTCTTCTTTTGTGGAAATGTGTTCTTTGTGAATGGAGTGTACCTGGTATATTTGAAGGAGTTGTTGTTGTTTAGTCTAAGTTTTGTCCAACTCTTTTGCTGCCCCGTGGACTCTAGCCTTCCAGGCTCCTCTGTCCGTGGGATTTTCCTGGCAAGAATACTGGAGTGGGTTGCCATTTCCTTCCCCAGGGTTTCTTTCAGATCCATGGATGGAACTCACATCTCCTGCATTGACAGGTGGATTCTTTACCACTGAGCGACCGGGAAGGTGGTCATATACATGAGTTCAGTTCAGTTCAGTCGCTCAGTCGTGTCTGACTCTTTGTGACCCCATGAACCGCAGCACGCCAGGCCTCCCTGTCCATCACCAACTCCCGGAGTTTACTCAAACTCATGCCCATCGAGTTGGTGATGCTATCCAACCATCTCGTTCTCTGTTGTCTCCTTCTCCTCCTGCCCTCAATCTTTCCCAGCATCAGGGTCTTTTCAAATGAGTCAGCTCTTTGCATCAGGTGACCAAAGTATTGGAGTTTCAGCTTCAGCATCAGTCCTTCCAATGAACACCCAGGACTGATCTCCTTTAGGATGGACTGGTTGGATC